TTATTTTATCTTACCAACTTAGGTATTGCCTTTGGATGGATCCCAAGGTATAGACAGGACTTGTGCAAGTGGGATAATAATTTTCTCCTCAAAATTTTGGAATTTTGTGTGACTAAATTCTTTTCTCAGTGGATGAACTTGTTGAGTACATTCCTCTAGTAGTGGTTGTCCCTTTTTTCATGTGAAATTTTCAACGTTCACATGGAACGTAGTGAAAATTGGTCTCTCATTATCAATATTGGTATGTATGTCTCCTTTGATGGTAAAACCTTAATAGAAACCTCTTCTATTCTCTTCTTAGACATCTTGATAGCGGCCCATTAAACTTTACTATCTATGAGATCGATTGGCTTAGCTAGTGTAGATCCTCCATATTTGATCTTCTAGAATCTAAATAATATTTTTCAAATGCAAAATAGCCGTCTCAATGAAAATATTGATGTTTGCATAGATTTTTACTACCTCTCAATCTTTCATATACTTTATGCATTGACGCAAAGTGGATGCCACCACTCAATTTTCATGAACCCAAGGATGTCCGAGCAACAAGTTGTATGATGTTTCTCCATCTATAACATGAATCAAAGTGTTTGATTTCACTTCACCAATGTACTATCCTACGTAAATCTTCCGTATGGACCATTGTCCTTTTTATTTAAAACCTTGGATCAATAGGTTACTTCGGAAAATTCATCAATAGAGATCCCAAGTCTTTTCAAAAAAGCTTTTGGCATGATATTGATTGTCAAACCACCATCAATTAGTATGCGATTGAGATGTTCCTAAATAGATCCTAAAACAAAAAAAGATTTTTTATGTAGCTTAGACCCTAACAACAATTCATCATCTCTAAAGGCAAGTGTAGCACAACATGGGGCAACTTTTTCATCAGTTTGTTCTTTTGTTATTGCTGGATTATGTTCACGTTTGATTTCCTTTGTTTCATGTGGGAAACAACATGTGATTCACCAAATTGACTACCGCATAGGAATTCTTTCAGGAAAGAATTCAGCTAACATAATGGGCTTTTAGAGCTTTTGCAATAAAAACTATGAATCTTTTGGCTAGTCCAAGGCTTGACGCTTTCTAATTGTTGTAGTTGATTCACATCACTCCTTATTTCTTTTGTTTTAGGAATTCGTATCTTATGAAATTTGTGGTGTATGTGCTTCTTATGAGTAACTAGAGTCCAACCATCAGCTTCATTTTGTCTATCTCTAGTGAACCTTCAATGGTTTTCTTTGGAAAATCAACTTCAACAGGTGTGAAACTTTTGAGTTGCAAGGAAATGGTGTTTGGCATAATTTGGAACCTTGAGCACTTCTTTTAATTGGGTGTTACACTAGCATGATTCGCCTCTGATGTTTCATCCATGTCAACAATGATTTTTCCAACACTTACTAACATCATGATATTCTCCTTCAAGATAAAGCATTTACGTGTCGGGTGGTCAAGGACGCAATGGAACTTGAAGTATTTAGGATCACTAACCTTATTGATTTCTTTGAGCCTCTTTGATTTTGGAAGATCAATGACTTTCTTAGCAAGCAATTCATCAAGAATCATAGGTACGTCTAAATTTAGAAACCGGTAGACCTTGACCTCTAATTCTTTCAAAGTGGGACATTGCCTCTCTTCCTTTAGATATTAACTTTGGGCTTCCCCCGTTTTTAGTTTATTCTTGGTGGTAACCTTTACAGAAGTTGCTTTCACCGTCATAGATTCCTTTGTCTGGATTTTTGAGGTCATAGGTTTCTTGAATTCCTTCTTTTGCTTTGTCATATCAGCAAAAAGAGATGCCTTCGCATGACTTGCGATGCTCAGCTCTATGTCATGCGCTCGTGTAGCAAGTTCCTTAAAAGTTTGTGCTTTGATACCTTGTAATATGTATAGAAATCCCCAATGCATACCCTGAATGCACATTTCCACAACAGATATTTAAGAAAGACAATCTTTGTAGTCCAAACTCAATTATCTACAATGATTGATATAATCCACCATAGGATCTTCCTTTCTTTGCTTAGTGTCGGTCAACTTTATCATGCTAATACGAGTATTGTAAAAACGATTGAGGAATTCCTTCTCGAGGTTGCTCCCAACTATCAATGGACTCGTGTTCCAGGTCGATATATCATTCAAATGTATGCCCTTTCAGTGAACGAACAAAATGTTTTACCAAAAGGTCACCATGTGTTCCAGCATTGCTACAAGTATCAACAAAGTGTGATATGCTGCCTTGGGTTCCCCTTGCCACCAAATTGTTGAAGCTCTAATGGTTAATAGTTTGTTGGCATTGATAAACAATCAATTCATCTGGTATATGGCTTGAAGTAATACAAGGAACTTTGTGGTGTTCCGCCATATTGAGTCATGATAATGTTTGTTAGCATGTCTTGCAACTGTGGGACAGATAATGCTCTAACTGAAGAAAATTGTTTCTCCATATGAAATTTTAACTTCGCAGAAGACTCCTAAACATCCTTGTTTCGTGCATCAAAATCAGGTGGACAAGTGGGGACATGACTTGACTCTCCGAGTGTGAATGTCTCCAACTTATTCATAAGTTTAGCAATATTAAGATTTTTTTCATCAATGAATTTTTTCAAGGCTTCAATAGTTTGCTCCATCATTGAAAATTTTTCGTCCATGTCGAATAAGTCAGCCATCAATGCATTGACATTCATTGAAGTTGAGAATTCATTGAATCTTCATATTCACCAAAGTTGGAGCCAATTCGAGAAAATTTTCCAAAGGACACTACTGCAAAATTGTCGCTAGGTATTGCAATTATGACCATCATATGGTAGTTATTGTTTTTCATCATCTCCAAAGAAGTGAAGTGTACATATCTATCTAACCCACTGTTGTTGAACTTATGCCGAGTAATCAGGCTAACATGACTGAGATCAGCAGATACTTGTATGAAAAATAACTACTCTTTATGAAGGTCATTGCAGTAGTTGAATTTGTAGTTTCTTGTTTGCAAGAGAAAGAAATGAAGAGCAGAATCGATCCTACAGGTAACTGCATGCAAAATAAATAAAAGAAAAATGGTATTCTTATTAATGAATCTTGTGAGTATTATTATGTTGTTCTCTTGATTCCTCTCTCCTAAACTTCTCTATAATTTGAGGGTCATCAATAGTGTATTTCTCGAATGTAGAAAGATGTAAACGTCCTTGAAATGTATTTGATCTTCAAAAATGACCGGAAGTACTTCGCCGTTCAATTTGATCTCTAGGAAGAACTCATATTAATTGCACAACAAATGTGACACAACTAAAATTATATATTAGTGGTGGAGCCAAGTTTTATAACATAGCTATGTACATTCTATTTACATAGGCAAAAGGAAAGTGATCCGTTATGATGATGCTTGCTGCAGTGACAAAAAAATGGCTTCAATCATACTGCAAATTGTAGCCAACATGACTTTTCACTGATAAAAATGGCTTCAATCACACTGCAAATGTGTAGCAGAAATGGCTTTTCACTGATAAAAAAATGAAGCACAACACTTAGTTGAAGTACTGAATGTAGGAAGTAGTAGTTTTGGAAGAAGTCTATATACCTTGTTATAGTGTTTTGGAAGGGGAGTCTTCACCTCTAGAAAATGCTTGTGATTGGAAGTGGCCTCTTGCTTGTCTTTTTATTTTTTGTGACAGGATTTTCGATGTTGCTTTTGCTGCTTCCTGCTGTGTCCATTGGAGCAGGATGGTGCACTGATGATGTTTTCTTTTTCCGCATATGACAAGATAATTAATTTTCCAGGAGTTCCATCCATTGTTTAGCAAATGACAAGATTAGACGAACTTTGCTGAGAACCTACAACAACAAACCAAAATGACAGAAAAGATAATTAAGAGCAGAAGGAAACAACGAAGAAAATTAAACTGTCCAGCTAACATCTGTGAGTTGAAACTATAATTACAATAGCAAAAAATTGACGAGATTATAAACACCACCGGAAACTTGAGAGGGTTAGCTGTGGTCCTATTGTTGCATATTTCTCTGATGTTACCCTCACCCTGCAGTCTTTGTTTAACTCTATTTGCAAGGAAACTAAAAGAAATCATCTACTTGTCACCCAATGACACTTTGAGCTGGCGCCATTATCAGTCCGACTTCATTCATCAAAAGTCACATTCTCTGCATCTTTCCATCTTCCAACTGCAGAATAGATCTTTCCCCATAGTATATAATTTTCTGTGTTCTTTGGCTCCAGCTTAAACAGCCACCTTGCAGACAATTCTCCCAGTTCCACATTTTCATGTATCACACAAGCACCAAGTAATGCACCCCAGATGGCATGACTTGGTTCAAAAGTCTCAGTTTTAATAAGTTCATATGCCTCCTCAAGTCGGCCAGCTTGATCAAGAAGATCAACCATACAGGTGTAATGATCTGTTCTAAGACTACCAGAGTGATTTTTAAGCATAAAATTAAACAAACAAAGACCGTCATCCACCAAACCAGCATGACCACAAGCATGCAAAATCGAGGTGAAAGTGACTTCGTTAGGTTTGACCCCAGATTGCACCATCTCATTAAACAGTGACAAAGAAGTCTCGCCATGCCCATGCATCCCATAACCAGCAATTAACGTACTTCACAAGATTATGTCCCTTTCTTTCTTGGGTATCCCATTGAAATCTTGTGACCATTATCTAAATTTCCACATTTAGAGTATATATCAACTAAACTAGTAGTTACCTCAGTTCTTGTAAAAATCCAGATCTTACAAGATAGCTGTGCATGCTCAACGCTTGCCTTGGATCAGCTTCAATGACAAATGGAGGAAGTACACTTTTCAGGGTTGCATCATTAGGTTTGACAGCATCTAACAACATGAACTTGAAAAGCTCTACCGCTTCTCTTGCAAGCTCAGTCCTCTTCTTGCTAGTCTTTGTAAATACCTGATAGCCTAGTCTAAAACAATTGCATTTAGCATACATGTCAATAAGGTTTCTACATTAACATCAACCTGAAGCCTGAAGGTCCAGCCTGATAGCCCAGCCATGCGGCATTTGCCAAGCCTCAAATGAGGCAAACTGGCACATGCAGCAAGAAGGGATGCGAGAGTTACTGCATTCGGCTTTACACCTTCAAGCTGCATCCTTTGAGAAAACCATAGTGCATCTTTTAAGTACCAATTGAAATGAAACCGTGGATCATTGTAGTCCAAGTAACCACATCTCTATCGATCATCTTCTCAAAAACCGACCTTGCTTTATCCATTCTTCCATACTTGACGTACATATCAACGACAGCTTTCCAAACAGACAAATTGTCCCGAAAACCTACTTGTTCGACCAGTGAGTGAACCTCTCTGCCCATCTCAAAGTTCTTCAGACACCCACACGCAGGCAACACAGAAAGCACAGTGGCACAATCAGCGTGAACACCAGCATCTTCCATTCTCCTGTAAATCATTAGGGCCTCTTTAGGACTATCATTTCGGCAATACCCACTGATCATAGTATTCCAGGTCACAACAGTTCGTACCTGCATTGCTTCAAAGACCCTCCTAGCACCCTCTTTTATCTCCACAACTCATCTACACGGACAAAAGTGAATTTCCCACAAAAGTATCCCACATATGGCCACTTCATTCAATGAATCATGCAACATCACTGTGTTCCATCCTAATCTCACAAAAGTTCCACGTCTTTTCTGCTAAGCAACATATATATTCATTATTATTGATCAATTGGTACAATGAATAACACCAATTCATCCGAAGCCCATCAACTATTCAGACACAGACATATACACTAACACATAAGCTTCATCCATGACAAAGCGATTTCTCGCCGCAACGCACAGAGCCAAAACCTTTAAGTCCGATTCAGCTGTAATTTCAAGAGCTTTACAGCTCCAAAATTAGCAGACCCCAAATAAAATCGAACAAACTTGAAATCCGGAAAACATATTCGGTATAGCATAGAAGTTAACCACAAAGAATTTATAATCCAGCCTAATTTAGCAGAAAGAAATATGGAAATCTAATTGAAAAAGGAGAAAACAACAACTCGAAATTGCAGACCTGATAACAGAAAGTATAAACAGAGCAGCTTCGACAGAACGGCAACCTTTTCTTCTATATACAACACACAATACTTTTCCCTTTTGTTTATACAAGGAAGCAACAAGAAAGCTAAAAAACTAAGCAAAAGCAGAAACAAAGCGCAGAAATTGGAGGTCACTATTAAAAAAAAAAAAAAAAAAAAAAAAAACAAAAAC